TATAAAAGCAGACTGCCACATCTTTCTCCCACAGAGCGGCTGGCGAATTTTAACTACCGACCTTTCAGTTAGTGGCCGAGCACTTAACCAGTGCACCACCAGGGCTTCTTCACACACAGTAAGCAGCCCATCAGTGCACACTTTTCCGCGCATCTGCTTAGTACTGCTGACTACGCTTACCCGCTAGACTGCATTTGACGATACTGAGTGGCCGCTGACTGAAAATAGAGAGGATGCCGGGCGGAAGATCTGCGCCGCCGCAATAGGGCTTGCATTGGCGCATGCTCACCGCTGGGGGCCGCGGGAGCCTTAGGGTTCGCCCCGCCCCTGAGGGTCAGAGGTCACCGGATGGTGCGGCATCGGATGTTAAGTTTCAGAGAAACCGGGTCCTGGGCCCATGGCGCCGGCTTATTACTGTCCTCTTTGCCGACAGACCTTCTTCTGTGGTCGCGGACACGTCTACAGTCGCAAGCATCAGCGGCAGCTTAAGGCAGCTTTGGAGCGGCTCCTGCCCCAGGTACTGACGAGAGGCTGGAGGGGGCCGAGACGGTCTGGGGGCGGAGATGGCAGGGTTGTGTAGTTAGGACCCGAGGGAACCCTGCTTGGCATCTTCCCCATTCAACCCTCACCGCCGCAGGTGGAGGCCGCCCGCAAGGCTGTCCGCGCCGCGCAGGTGGAGCGATATGTACCAGAGCACGATCGACGCTGCTGGTGTCTGTGCTGTGGCTGTGAGGTGCGGAAACACCTGAGCCACGGAAACCTGACCGTGCTGCATGGAGGGCTGCTGGAGCATCTGGCCAGGTAAGATCTTACGTATATAGGAGGGGTAGAGTAGGTGAGAGGAAGGATGCTTTTTGTGATTTGATCAGGGTGGATGGATTGAGGCTGCTACAAAAGACCTCTTTAAATTAAGAAGATGTCACTTTGAGGACTAAGTTGCGCCTGACCTAAGCCATGGTATTTTTCAGTCGCTTTATATGCATGTGAAAGGTGGATAATGAATAAGAAAGACTGTAGAAGAATTGATGACTTCGAATTATAGTGTTAGCATAGAATATGGACTGCCAGAAGAATGAGCAAATCTGCCCTGGAAGTACAGCTAGAATGGTTGTATGCTGAAATGGGAGACTGTCTCACGTACTTTGGACATATTATCAGGAGAAGTCAGTTTCTGGAGAAGGACATCAGGCTTGGTAAAGTAGGGGATCAGTGAAAAAGAAGACGACCCTCACTAGGATGGATGGACACAGTGGCTGCAACAGTGGGCTCAGACATAACAACAAATGTCAGGATGGCCCAGGACTGGGAAGGGTTGTACATAGGGTTGCTATGAATCAGAACCTATAACACCTGACAATAAATGGGAAAGCCAGCTGGGCAGCAGCTGGCTCAAAGTCATGACCCATCACCCCCTCAGATTCTCACAATTTTATTGGAATAAGGGAGATTGGAGATCTTGAAGGGACTGTAAATAGTATTCCTGTCAGCCTTGTCCAGAGGCAGAGGTAGAAACCAGGATGCCAGAGCACATTACTTATCTAATACTTAGGTGTCTGAATAATTTTCTATAGCTGAGATTACTCATCCTCTCTATTCTCAGCCCAGAGCACAAGAAAGCAACCAACAGATTTTGGTGGGAGAACAAAGCTGAGGTCCAGATGAAAGATAAGTTTTTGATCTCCCCCCAGGATTATGCAAGGTAAGTCACTGGTTAGGAGAGTTGAAGAAGTTCTGAGCCATGGTGTGCTAGGGGCGCCAGTACTTACTATGAGAAACTCCACTGTATAGGCCTTCTATAGCAACTCAAGGTAGGCTTGCAGGTGACGGTGTCCAGGTAGGGGCAGTGCTGGCATACTCCAGATGGAACTCTAAGGAGGTGTGTGTTACTGCTTTCAGTGCCTTTGTCTCCCAAATATGTTGGCTGTGTGTGTATATCCTCAAGATGCCTGCTTTCTAGTGTACAGCAGCCTCAGGCAGTTCTCAATGCCTTTTGTAAGAGCAGACAGGCCCAAACTGAATCCCTGGGAGGTCTGTGGTTTCAAAGACCTGAGCTATGGGATGTGCAGGGAGGCAGGTGGTTGATTAGGAAAGCAGACTCCACTGTAGGGGGCCGTCTGTAGCAATTCACAGCAGGCTTGTAGCCAGCAATGCCAGGTGGGGAAGGACCAAATGGGAAGATAGGCCTTGCTGATTTTAGAGCAGAATCTTAGGGTGCTCTTTATACAGGCAGAGGATATGGTGGTTAGGAAAACAGGCTATTCTTCCCCAGTTCACAGCAGCTGGAGCCCATGTGGCTAGGAGGGAGGAGAGTGGGAGGAAGTTTTCCTACTTAGGCAATTCATGTTACATTTTTTTTCTTGCCTGTTTGTAGTTCTCTGCTGCTTCCTCTGCTCCTCAGATTCACAGTCCCTAAAGCCAAGCACCATTTCCTTGTATTTTTGTTGTATTTGTGGGGGAGGATTGGAATGATGATTTACTTACACTGCCATCTTCCCAGAATTCTGTTTATTAGTTTTATTGTTGATAGTAGTATTGGTATTAGGCTGAAATCTCTTTGTGTGTACTGTAGGATAAAACAACTGAGTAAACATACTGATGTTGGGAACCAGGGTTTTAACTATAGCAGAAGAGAGATACAATAAGAAATGGAGGTGTTGGAGCTGAATAAGGAGGCAGGTGATGGGGGCTAGCAGCACTGAACCCTCTGTAGCAATAGTGTCTTTGCTTGTACTTAGATTTTTGTTCTAAAGACTGTTTTCTATTCAACAGAACCAGGGCTCACTGGAAAAATGGTTGATTTCAGGATGCAGGAGCTGACTTAAAGGGGTTCTCACTAGCCATATATCAGATAATTTGAACATCAAAGTGTATGACAGTAATGAATTACAAACCCACTGTTGTCAAGTTCATTCTAACTCATAGTTACCCTATAGAACAGAGTAGAACTGCCCCATGGGGTTTCAAAGGCTGTAAACCTTTAGAGCAGACTGCCATATCTTGTTCCCACAGATTGGCTGGTGGGTTAGAATGAAACTGCCAACATTTTGGATAGTAGCTGAGCATTTTAACCACTGCATCACCAGGGCTTCTATAATTAGCATGGGATCACTCTCTATATATGTATGTATATGTGCATACATATGTGGGTTTTGGAATTTCCCCCACCCTCAACCCAAACCTGGATTTTACTTTTGAGACTTATGGGTAGACTAATGATTACACCAGGGCAGCTGACATAAACTGAGCCTGTTCTGGGCAGACTGGGCTATGAGGTGTCCCTAATAATAATTTTATTTTTTAAACCATAACTGTATAATGTTTTTAAAAAGAGAAAGAAAGGAGAAGTCTGTTATTGGAAAAAAATGCCAACAAATGAACGAGAAATGAAAGAACTAAAAATCACCATTTTGGTACCTCCAGCATAATACACAGTTCAGGCAAGGATTATCAGTGGATGCTAAAATCACTGGGTGAAAGGTTATAAGGAAACAGAATATTCATAGTGTCAGACTCTTATAATATAGATTACTTATTATTCTTAAAGGGAAAATGTGCCTTTAAAATGGAGCGGTCTGAAAATTAATAAATGGTCAAGCTTGCCATTGGTAACACCATCAGTCTTGACATTTATATGCTTCTTGATGTAATGCAGTGAGAATATCATCAGTGTGATATTCTTGCCAGAAATGTTTAACTTCAGTTTTATCATAAGGAAACAAATAAATTCAGAAATTTGTGATGATGTGCAACACCTGGCCTGGGCTCTTCAGAGGATGCAAAATAATAAAGACAGAGGGAAGCAGTGGGACTGTTCTAGGCTGGGCGGAGACTAGAGAGACCCAGCAGCCAAATTCCAGGTGGGAACTTTCACTGGGTCTTGGGATTGGGGGTGGGAGTGAGAGGTAGAGAAGATAGAAAGCACGTTTTTGAGACAATTGACAATTGGGGGAATTTGGGTATAGGTTTTATGTCATTGAATTACTATTTTCTCAAGTATGGTTTTGTGATTTTATAGCATATTCCTGTTCTTTGAAGATGTGTGCTGAAATATTTAGGGTTATAATTTGCAAAAAGGAAATTGTGTGTGCATAGATCTAGATCTATGCATCCATATATAAAAAAGAGAAATGGAGCTAGTGTAGCAAACTCTTAGCAGTGAATCTGGGTGAGAGGTACATGGGTATTCACTGTTTCTGTGTTTGAAATTTCTCAAAAAAAAAAATCTACTAAGGAAATCATGGGAGTCCTGGTGGCATAGTGCCTAAGGCATTTGACTACTAACCAGAAGGCTTGCAGTTCAAACCCACCCACCACTCCTCAGAAGGAAGATTGGGTGGTCTACTTTCATTCAGATACCACCTCAGAAACCCAAGGAGGGGTTGCTATGAGTTGTATCCAGCTTGACGGCAGAGTTTGGTTTGGTTTGAAGGAGACCTTTTGTTTTCACAACTGGCAGGGAGTTTGAGTGACCACTGGCAGAGGCTGGGACTCCAGACTAACTTACTGTCTTTTTAGATTCAAGAAATCCATGTTAAGAGGTTTGGATTCTTATGAGGAAAAAGAGGATGAAGTGATCAAAGAGGTAAGTTGAAGGCACAACCTCTGAAGGACCCAGCCCCCACAAGCCTGTACCCTTCTAAGCAGCCTCTCTCCCACAGATGGCAGCTCAGATCCGGGAGGTAGAGCACAGCCGGCAGGAGATGGTTCGGTCTGTCTTAGAGGTTGGTTTCCTTTGGAGGATCCAGAGCAGTATCCAAATCCACTGGTCCCTGGCTCACCCAGGTCCAGCATCTCACCTATCAGCTTTTCTGAGAGAACTCATGGACTCCATTCTTCATCTGCTTGAAATTCCAAAAACCCATTTCCTGTCTACCAGATACAGGCCTTGTCAGTGAAGAACATGGGCAGGGCTGGGAGAAAGGGAGGGAAGAGTTTACAAGGTGGGCAATACCAACCATATGGCCAGCATGTTTCCTTCTTATGATACTGGGGTCTAGAGGGTAGGGCATGGTCTAGACAGGCACTTAAGCATCCTAGACACATTTATTTTTCCTGAATCAAACTCAGCCTCAGGCAGTGCCAGACCCAGAAGAGGGCTCTTCAACACCTGGAAGCTGCAAAGAGAGAAACAGGTAAGACTGTTAGGGAATTTCTTGTTGGGAGTTTGATGTATCACAGGTTTTTTTCTAACCTCAGCTGGGAAATAAGAACATGTCTCATCCCTGCTCGCCTCATGGCACTGGTGAGCTTCTGTTACTCTGGCCCAAGGACCTCATCTGCCAGCTTGGCTTTCTTTTCTTTTTCAGACAAGTATCTTCCAGCTCACAGCAGCCCTCAGACTTGGATCTGCCACCAGCTCCAAAGCTGGACTGGATGGAGACAGGACAGCCCCTGACGTTTATTGACTACCAGGTATAATGGATAAGCATAAGCAAGCCATGCAAGGGTCAGTGGCCTCAGTTCCCAGGTCACCCCTCTCCTGGTTTTCCACCTACTCCCCTGGTCACTCGTCTCCACTGCAGACTTTTTCCTCTTGCTGCACTGCTCCCTAGTATGTGTTCTCAGGCCTCTTCTCTCACCCTCCCTGGGGATCTTATCTACATCTTGATCTTGTGTTCTGCAGAACCTATATGCTAGCTGGATGGAGGACATTGATACTTGGGTATCCCACAGGCATTTCAAACCAACCTCTACCACTCCTTTTATTTCTAGTCATTGTAGATGTAGACAGATCCTTACCCCTCTCCTCTTTCATCTCCCACAACCTATCAATGAGTGTATACATCAATTTTACCTCCATAATACCTCAAGAGGGTAGGGAGTGGTCTAGCCAGGCACTTAAGCATCCTAGGCATTTCTTTTTCATCGGCCTTAGGGTTATCTCCCTCCAGTCATATCACCTGCCATCTCCTATCTGTACTCTAGCCAGTGATCGTGCTTCTTCCTGCCTTTGCCTTAAATATGCTTTCCTCCCCTCAGCTGTCAGCTCAAATATCCCTTTTTCATGGAAAGCTAATCTGAATAGGTCATCTATACTATAAATGGACATTAAAAAATTAAAAAAAAAAAAAAAATTGCTGTCAATTCTGACTCATAGTGACCCTAGAGAAAACAGTAAAACCGTCCTACAGGGATTCCAAAGGTGTCATCTTTACATAAGCAGATTAGCATCATCTTTGTTCTGCAGAGTAGCTGGTGGGTTTAAACCCTTGTTTGTAGCTTAACGTTTAACCACCAGAGCACATTATAAATGGACCAAGTACCCTGTAAGACAAGTGTTATTGGTATAATTTATATAGTTCTCTTCCCCTGCCATATGTATGCATTGTTAGAGCAAGGTTTTCCTCACCTGGTATGTGACTCTATTTTGGACTATTAAGAACTTAAGCTTCTTGAAGATAAGATTGTCCTTATCTATTGTGCTCTTTAGGGTTTAACCAGAGTGAAAACTGCCATTTGTGGTGATGACTGCACCCACCTCTTTGAAAAGTTTACCCTTTCTATAGTAATAAGTATTCTATCATCTCTTGGCTTTCATATCTAGGATTTTTTCCCCCCTATTTTCAATTACAGGATATACCAGGAGTTGGCAACATCTACTCAGGTAAGGCTCCTTCTCAGCGTCTAAGTGGCAATTAACTTTCATATATCCGGCACACACACACACACACACAGCTGTCGAGTCAGATCTGACTCATAGCAATCCCTCCTTGGGTTTCCGAGGCAGTTACCACTACAGAAGTAGATTGCCCAACCTTCCGAGGGGTGGCTTGTGAGTTTGAACTGCCAGCCTTCTAGTTAGCAGTCAAATGCATTAGGCAGTAAGCCCCCAGAGCTGCCTACAATATAAATATAAAGCACATGAAAAGACAGTCATTGAGAAAATACAAAAACTCTAGAGAAACCACTATATACATGTTAGAATGACTACAATTTTATTTTATTTTTATTTGGGTGAAGATTTACAGAGCAAATGCACTTTCCATACAATAGTTCACATATACTTCGTCGCATGTCATTGACCACAGTTTACAATGCAACAGCTCCCCTCCCACTTCCTCCCCATAGTTACCTCTTCCCAGTGTCCATCCCTCCATACTCTCCTGCCACCCGAGCTATCTCCCTGTGCATAAGCAGCCCTTCCTTCTCCCATGATTGTTCTCTCCAGGGCGTGTGTCTACTTGAGGTAAATGTTTAACTCACATGCCTGTACTTTGTTTGGCTGGAAACCACAGGTGTGGGTTCAATTTCAGACCTGAAGGGCAGCTAGGGGCCATAGTCTCAGTGGTTCCACCAGGCTCTATTGGACCAGCAAACCTGGTCCCCACCTTCTTTTTTTGCCTCCAAATGATTTTGAGTTTTGTTCCACATTGTTCTCCCTCTCTATGCAGGATCTCCTACATCCCTTCCAAGTGGATGATAGTGGTAGCCGGGCACAATCTAGTTCTTCTGGTCTCATAGTTGTATAGGTTGCAGATCGGTTGGTGTACCAGTTGCTAGAACTGATTGTTTCCATTAACTTTGGTTTTCTTCTTTCTTCTTGACGAGGAGAGACCCATCGTTGCATCTAGATGGCAGCTTGCTAGCTTTTAAGATCCCAGTCGCTACTCACCAAAGTAGGAGGTGGAACAAGAATGACTATAATTTTTAAAACCTGAGCACACCCAAGTATTTGGCTATAATGTAGAGGAACTGGCACACTCACACACTGCTAATGGGAATGTAAAATGGTGCAAGCACTTGGGAAAATAGTTCAGAAGTTAAACATATACCTACTATATGGATCCAGCCATTCCCCTCCTAGTTATCTACCAAAGAGAAAAGAAAAGCATGTTCACCTCAAAGCTTGTACATAAATCTTTAGAACAGCTATTTACGAATGATGAACAATGGAATAGTATTCAACAATGAAAAGAATGAAGTGTTGGTACAAGCAACATAGATATCAAAATAATTATGCTGCAAGATAGACCAAAAAAAAATTCCTGCAAACTATACTGACAGAAGAAAGCAGATTCACTGGTTGCCGAGGATGGGGAGAAGGGTTCAGGATATGACAGGAATAAAGTATTTCAATGGGACATAATGATAGCTGGAGGTATTAAGTATCTTGACTGTACCAATGGCTTCACGGATCTCTACACATCAGATTGTACACTTTAAATATGCAGTTTATGGCAAACTAAAGCTATTTTAAAATTTTAGACTACATGATGGCAAATACTGTTGCTTTAAATTAGCCCACAGTGCTCAAATGTCTCAAAATTCAGAATTCCTGGGTTTTGCCTTTGAATATTACCAGTTCTCAACTAAGTGAGGTGAGCTTACAGCTAGGGCATGTTTTACAGAAGCCTGAAAGCTTAAAAAGTCTGACTTAATTACTGCCTGTTGGGTCCTCCCTTTCTAGGTGCTATACCTCCCTGGATGGTTCAAGATGAGGAACAGAGCTCTGGCAGCCAACAAATAGGACCCTCCTATGAAGAATTTCTTAAAGAAAGTAAGTAAACTTATTCAGAAAGGGCAATGGTTCTTTAAATTTTCCCACTCATATGAAACTTTATTACTGTAGAGGAGAAAGAGAAATTGAAGAAACTCCCCCCAGACCGAGTTGGGGCTAACTTTGATCACAGCTCCAGCACCAATGCATGCTGGCTACCATCATTTGGCCGGGTCTGGAACAACGGGCGCCGCTGGCAGTCCAGGTACTGACCCAGTCCTAGGACCCCAACCAACTCTTTTTGGAAATCCCTCCCCCTTCATCCTGTTGATGCCTCATTTCCTTTTAGACATCAATTCAAAACGGAAGGAAGAAACAAACAGCAATCACGTAAAGAAAAAACCTGAGCTTCCTGGTGCTCTTCCACGTATTCTAAACTTAAGGCCACGACAACAAACCCCTACCTCAGTACACCTATTATTCTGTCCACCAAATCCTTTGAAATTGTCTTACTTAGAAAACAGACATACCCATTCTTTTGATTTAATAAAGTTTTATTTTTCAAAATGTACAGTTGGTTGGACCTGTAAAAAAACAAACCAAGAATTAGAACCATAGTGCCTTGTGTAAGGTATCCATGCTTCCTACACCATGAGCTCTTGGGATTCTTGCTCACCTGTTTATGCATCTTCACCAGCAGTGGGGGCATCTCCACCTTTGGTGTTTCTGGTATAAATTACTTGAGCTCTGTGTTTTGAAACCAACTTGATAAGTCCTAGAGAAGAAAGGGTAAGGCATCTATGAGATGCTTCTATTTGCCAGGAATTATAAGGTTTTATTATCCCTTACTAAAACAAAATGGCTGAACTGGAACATGAGACACTTAGCAACAGGGGCATTAGGTACAGTTCTACTACTTGATAATCTAATTCTTATTTATCAAGGGCCTATTTTCTACTGTTAGGACAATCACCCTCACACAACTTTACTAACTTAGGAAAAAAAATCACCATTTCTGTATTTTATTAGCCACAACATACAGCTTAAATATTTATATTGATCAGTAACTTGAAGTTATGGTAATTAATCCCACCAATCCATCTTTAAAGTTTGGTAGCTTAATAAAAATTATTTTGTTGCAAAGGTTTTTGTTATTTTGATAAACTATTACTCCAGTCCAGTATTCTCTGTAATTCTCTGTATTTATCATCCCACTTGAAAACGTTAAAACTGGAATTATATTATTAACAGCCAATGGGTTGGACACTCCTATTTTTAGCATTTCCAACTGCTTTTCCAGTAGAAACACAAGATGGTTAACATAGGATGATTTACCTGCAAAAGCATCCCAGTACAAAACACCCCTCACCTTTACTAAGCAGCTCCTGAAGAGCTGCCCTGGCCAGGGAACCTCGAATCTTCAGTCTCTCTGAGACAACAGCTGGTGTTATAAGTTTATAGTTGGGAACTTCCTTACAGAGTTTGTCATATGTGGCTTTGTCAAACAAGACCAAGTTATTGAGCTTGTCCCGAACTTTGCCTTTGGACCACTTCTGCTCAAAAACAAGAAGGAAACGTCAGTTTTCTAGCAGAAGCATTCTTTCCCTCCCAGGCAACCTGTATCAGAGAAATCTTCATGATAGTGGGGCTAACTACAGTGAAGGGATGGCTCTGAACCCTGGGCCTGCAGATACAACCCCACCCCAAATAATTGGCGCAAACCCCTTTGTTCACTTAATTTTCACACGATCTTTAATATATACCACCTCATTTTTCAAATGACACAGACTTACAGTGAATGAATAGTGATGGATGCTTAAACTTTCTAATAATCTTACTGGACCCCACAACCTTGAAAGCCACTTCATATACGCGTCCCCAATCTCCCTCACTCCCTTCACAAAAACTGATTCCTACCTTCTTTTTGGCCTTGCCTCCAGATTTGTTCACTGGGTCTTTGTCTTTCTTGGCCGACTTTCCGGCGTCTTTCTTCTTCTTGTCGTCCTTGGGCGGCTGTGGAAGGAAAGGAGGAATGCACGCAGGTCATAAGGCGATCCTATGTTCCCCTCTACTACTGCGTCCCCAGCCCCTTCCAAACGCCACTACCGGAGCACATGGGTGGAAGTAACTAACACCGCCGCCTGCCCAGAAAGCCAGTCCGGCAGTTCACGGAGTGCTCCCTTCCTATGTTGTCTCAACTGAGCCCGAACACTGCCCCGCGTTTCAGGACCCCATGTCTTTACATCCTTGAAGCTTACCATCGTTAAGCTGGAAGAGCAGATAACACAGCCACAGCGGTACTAAGATGTCGGACAAAAAGGAAGAGCGGCTGACGAACAGGTCCGGAAGCCTTCACTCCCTATGAGTACTTCCGGGGCAATGGGCGGAGCCACAAGGAAGAAGTTCTAAGGCATGCCCGGGATGGTCCCAGAAAACAAGTTGGAGGAAGTGGAGTGCAATTCTCTTGTAAACCATTGCCGGGAAGGCGACTCCGACTCATAGCGACCCTTAGTAGAGAGGAAAACCAGCTCAGCGTGGAACAGGGTTTCCAAGGCTGTAAAATTTTAGACTCAGAGTGCGTCATCTTTCTCCAGCGATGGTCTGGGTTTGCAAATTGTTTTGTTAACAGCCAATGCTTTAATCACTGCTCCACTAGAGCTCCTTCAATTCTCAATTAGCACATTCTAAAAACTGCCCCATGGTCCCCACTAAAATTGATGGGCTTTATCCCTATATGTGATTAAGTCACATGTTAGGATTTTCCGGCAGTAACAACCGGAAAAGAGAAATGCAAGACAATTTACTAGACCCCGGGAACTGACCAAACTTTAAATTGCGCAAGCGCTGCAGGCTACCCCGCGCTGGGACCGGGAGATGAACACGCGAGAGGGGAATTCAGGGGCGGGTCCTGTCGATTGCGCTTCCGGGGCGGGACTGTAGGGAAGGGGTGGAATCCGGGAGCGGTGGCGGCTGTAATGGCGATTTTTAGTGTGTATGTAGTGAACAAAGCTGGCGGCCTGATTTACCAGCTGGACAGCTACGCGCCACGGGCTGAGGCTGAGAAAACGTTCAGTTACCCGCTTGATCTGCTGCTCAAGCTACATGACGAGCGTGTGCTAGTTGCCTTTGGCCAGCGCGATGGCATCCGGGGTGAGCTAAATTTGGGGCTCGGGGGTGGGGCGGAACCCAGGGCTTTTGTGTCTGTGTGTGGGATGACAGGATGGAGCCAGGTCCTTGACCCCTGGACGGAATCCGCATGCTGAGGTTTCTCTGACCCTTAGCCTCACCTCCGCAGTGGGCCACGCAGTGCTGGCTATCAATGGGATGGACGTGAACGGCAAGTACACGGCCGACGGAAAAGAGATACTGGAGTACCTGAGCAACCCTGCTAATTACCCTGTGTCTATTCGATTCGGCCGGCCCCGCCTCACTTCCAATGAGAAACTCATGCTGGCTTCCATGTTCCACTCGTAAGTCCCCCAACCCTGTCTGTGGACCTGCACTTAGCCTTTCGACTGGCTGGTTTTGTGTGTTTCTGCAGGTATAATCTCCTGAGCCGCAGTACTTATCTTTCTTTACGTCCTTCTAAATGGTTGGATTCTTGTGAAAAGAAAACAACTTCTCCGGTATATCTAAATTTTGGTTAATACTGGACAGTAGGGTTTTGTTAAGACAGCTTCTCTTTTCAGAGTCTTAGTTTTTTCATCTTTAAAGTAAGGCAGTTGAACTAAGTAATTTTTAAAGATCTTTTCTTGATCTCAACTCTGCGATGAGATATGTTGGAGTATGCATAGCCACTGGGTAAGTAAGCATGCCACATATTCCCAGAGTGTTAATTTTACTCAACGTTTTTAATGAAAAAATGTTATTATAAAAGGTGTGTAAAATAAAAAAATGTAGAATTCAAATGAGTTTTAACAAAAGTTGATACTGCTGTCAGTCATTTCCCATTACGTCTTCAGGCTGTCCTGGCTATAACTGCTAGGGTCTCCTCATTGAAAAGTGTGAAAAGTACTTCTCCCTGACAGCAGTGGGGTGCGTACCCAATGTTGCCTCCTTTGCATATAGGCTCTTTGCCATCGGCTCCCAGCTATCTCCTGAACAGGGCAGCTCAGGCATTGAGATGCTGGAGACAGATACATTCAAACTGCACTGCTTCCAGACATTGACAGGTATGCATCTTCACACAGTCCAAAGGGATGCAGTGGGCAGGTCCGAGGAAGGGATGGGTCCAAGACAGCCTTCATAAGGAAGAGGGGTGATGTCGGCTTTTCCTAAGGCAATTGTACAGCTACATCTATTTATTTGTTTTGTGAATCCAAAGTAAATACTTCTTTTTAAGGCAGTTTTGTCTACTTCACCCAGCATGCTCAGCCCTCGTTATCCCACAGGCAGATAAAACTCACATTGTTATCTCATGCTGCACGCATTTCTGAAAGATGTGTTGTTCCAAAATGAAATTTGAACACTAAATGGAAATGGCCTTTGGATCATGTGTGTCATTGCTTCAATTCCTTAATGCAGATATTTGATGCCTGAGTTTATTCCTTGCCTGTCACTTTTTGCTGAATCCCTTAAAAAAAAAAATAAATAATAATAATAATGATAACCCTATTGCCATGATGGTAAAGAAGGTCAGTAGAAGAAGCAGGGAAAGACCATCAATGAGATAGATTGACACAGTGGCTGTGACAGTGGGCTCAGGCATAGTAGTGATTGTGAGGATGGCACAGGACCAGGCAGTGTTTCATTCTGTTTTATGTAGGGTTGTTACGAGTTGAAACTGACTGGATAGCACCTAAGAACATAGCCATCAAGTCAGTTCTAACTAATGACAACCCCATGTGTTACAAAGTAGAACTGCTCCATAGGGTTTTAGCTATAATCTCTACCAAAACAGATTGCCAGGCCTTTCTTCAGTGCCATGGGGTAGATTAAAACCACTAATCTTTAGCTTAGTAGATGAGTACAAATAGATTGTGCCACCTGAGGGTCCCTAAGACTGGCTAAAAGTGACAGAACTTAAAACCTGTTCTCTCACTAAGTTGGGTGAGAAGTGACTTCATTTGTCTCGTCTTAGCTACAAAGGTCTATCTTTTCAGCTGTATGTGGCAAGACTAATAAAATGAAAATGGGCTTCTGAAAATGCTATACAAGTAGTACCAAACCAAAATCAAACTCACTTGACATCTAATCAGTTCTGACTCAGTCATTATTTGCTACATTCTCTACCTTTTGTAACCATCCTCTGCTCCTCTCCAGGGATCAAGTTTGTGGTGCTGGCAGATCCCAGGCAAGCTGGAATAGATTCTCTTCTTAGAAAGATTTATGAGATTTACTCAGATTTTGCCCTCAAAAATCCATTTTACTCCCTGGAAATGCCCATCAGGTAGGTGGCCCCACTCCCCAGATCCTGGCCAAAGCCTCCTTGCCCCTCCACTATCCCCTGGGTGCTCCCAAGTCATTTTGAAAAATTGAAAAAAAAAAAAAACCAAACTCACTGCCATCGAGTCAATTCCAACTCATTGGGTTTCTGAGGTGGTATCTCTATGGAAGTAGATTGCTTAGTCTTCCTTCTGAGGAGTGGCTGGTGGGATTGAACCGCCAGCCTTCTGGTTAGCAGTCAAATGCCTTAGGCACTCACTATGCCACTAGAGCTCCCTTTTGAAGCATAATAGAGTATTAAATAAAACGTGACTAGATTATTTATTTTGAGAAACCAAAGATTTCCCTGGGGTTCATGTCCTTTTTCAGTTTCCACTGGCCCTGCCTCTCCACCCACAGTGGGGAGAAAGCCTCATACCTCATACTGTTTTCCTTACTTGTGCCTCCTGGGCCTGGCTTAGGTGTGAGCTGTTTGACCAGAACTTGAAGCTAGCCCTGGAGGTGGCAGAAAAGGCTGGGACTTTTGGACCTGGGTCATAGGCTGAACCTGCACTGGACCCTGAAATTCTGAGAATCTGCACTTGGGGTCCTGCTGTTCTCACTTGGAAGGTGCTCCCAACAATCATGTTAGTGCGCATGGAAATGGGTAGATGCTGAGCCTGAGGACATGTACAGATCCCTGAGCCTTAAAACTATGCTCTTTTCCCTCTTGTACATATCACAGTCCTACTCCCTAACTCTGTACAGATTTATTTATGGAGGAGATAGGCTTATGAATGGCTGTAATAAACATTTCTTTGACCTAAGTGTTGGCTATCCTGATTGATCATTTTGGGGAAAGGCACTGGAGGGGAGACAGGACTGATGAGGGAGTTCTGGGAAGATAAAACAGTATGTTCTAGTAGAAAATAAGACAAATACATGTTCATTAAATGAATGAACGTAGGACTCCGAGTGCTGAGTTTTGGATCTAGTCACAAAATTACTGCTAACTTCCTGTTGTGGTGATAGTAATAATGGAGCATTTATCAAGTGCTTTGAACTAGGCTCTCTTCTGTCTCACTCAAGACTCATCTGAGCCCCAGGGGGTACATTCTATTACAAACGAGATTTAGCAAGCTACACCCTCTGTGTCTCAGAACCTCAAAAGTGAGTTACTAAGAAAACCAACAATTTATGGAAACAATTAGTCCTCGTGACTGGTACACCATGCGATCCTCGGCCTATACAACTATGAGACCAGAATTAGATGGTGCACGGCAACCACTGTCAGTCACTCAGAGAAGGATCTATGGAGGAGATCTTGGATAAAGAGGGAGAACAATGTGGAACAAAACTCAAAATCACTTAGGAAAAAAAAGGGGGGGACTAGATTTGTTGGTCTGATAGACTCTGTGGAACCACTGAGACCATGGCCCCTAGCAGCTTTTCAGGTCTGGAATTGAATCCATACCAGTGGCTTCCAGTCAAACAAAAGACAGACATATGAGTTGAACATGTACCTAAGGTAGATACACTCCTGGGAGAGAATAATCATGGGAGAAGGGCTGTTTATGCACAGGGAGACAGCTCAGGGCAGGAGTACATGGAGGGATAGACACGGAAGAGGTGACTGTTGGGAGGAAGTAGGAAGGGAGCTGTTGCATTGGGGTAAATTGTAGTCAACGTCATGAGACAACATATGTACGAACTGTATGAAGTGTATTTGCTCTGTAAACTTTCACCCAAATCATAATTTAAAAAAAAAAAAAGCTAGTTACTAATATCCTGAGCTTGAACCCAGGCTTCCTGACTATACTTGATAAACCACTGCTATACTGCCTCCCTCCATCAGGTTATTAAACCTGCCTGAAACCCAGTAGCTCCTAAAATGACCACTGAACTGTACTGTGCTATGAAGGCAGGGGATGTTTGCACTTAAAGGAAGACTACAGGAGTCTGTACCTCAGCTTTCCTATTTCAGAGAAATGGAATCTCTCTTTAGTGGTGAAAGAACAGGGACTGACAGTACTTTCCAAAGAAAATACTGGCTTGTAGTACCCCTTTCTGAAGGAAGAAATCACAGGCAACTGTTTAGTATCAAATCTAGTTTTAATATTCTAGAACAAGTCTTCCCACCTTTCCACCAGTACCCTCTACTGTATCGGGATACAGTGGGAATGCTGGCTTCCTCTCCTCCCCTGGAGTCTGAGGTATTGGCAATAGCAGTTGCCCACTGCCGAGGGACCTTGGGACAAAAATTATGGACCATGAGTGCCCTGCAGCTGCAGGAGCAACTACACTCCTGATGTAGGGTGGGACAGGGACAGTGCAGGGCCCAGAGGAGGGAGGGGTATGAGACTCCCTGACTTGCAGGCGTGTGCCCTTTGAAGGCAGGAAATAGGAGGTATTGGAGTCCGAGAATAAAGTGTATCTTAAATAGAGCATAGGATGTAGAGCTGGGACCTCATTAGCCTCTGATAACTTCCAGTGTTACTCAGGTAAGGGACAAAGCAGAAGAGGGAAGTTAAAGGTTCAGTGCTAACTGGAGCATCTCCCTTCCCCCTGTCCTACCCCACACACGCCTAGAAAGGTCACAGGTGGAACAAGACACCGCAGAGCCTGCATCCTCTTCACTCGGCCTTCTTCAGCACTCGGCCCATCCTGGTGCGGATGTTTCGTAGCAGGAAGAAGACAGCTGTGCTGGCTGCACAGATCACTTCAGCCACCCAGAAGGCTGTGCCCCAGCTGTAGTGCTTGGCAATAGTGCTGAAGGGTAACCCAGCCAGAAAGCCGCCCACTGTCAAGAAGGAGGGGAAGAACCTAAGCCGTTTGTGAGGTTAGAACCAGTGGGCCCTATACCAGCCTCTTGCTGGCCTGTGTGCAAGGCACAAGTGGGGCAAGGGAGAAACTAGCACCTACAGGCCATCACTTACCATTGGCCATGAGTCCCACAATGGCATGGGAGGTGCCACACAAGTTGGGAGGGGCACTTTCATTGGCTATAACTCCAAACAAGGCAATGGGACCATACGAGGAGAAACCAAACACAGCTCCCAGTACCAGGATCCAGAGCTGCAAGAGTAGTGAAAGCTGGCTTCAGAGTTGAGAAGCCTGCCTACCCACCCCTGCCAGAAGAGAGAATGCTTGGTCCCCAGGAACAGCTAATCATACTAAAGGCACAGTGAGTGACTCCTGACCCCACTCCCCAGTACAATCAACACCACAGAACTAGAGGAGTGGGTGTCACACTGCCATGCCAAAGGCTTGTACTAGCAAGTGGAGGAGGTACAGTCATCCACAGAGTTAGATGCTGTCTGGTCCCACAATTTATGCAAGTTGGATCAGCTAGGGGCAGGGCACAGGGAGTAGGACAAAGGTGAGACAGACCAGGAGAAGAACCAGAGATAAGGACAAGGCACCTCGTGCTCCATAAAGCCTGTGAGTTCAGCAAGAGGGTGCAGAGCCAGAGTCCAGAAAGCAATATCCTAGAGGAGCACAAGACAGAGAAGAAAACCAGGCCCAGGATGGAGGAGGGGAAGCAGAGGTCAGAGGAGAGGAACTGAGTTACAAACAACTGGAAAGCAGCAGAGAAAGGACTGGGCCACAGTGGAGCCCAGGTAGAGGGAGACCGGATCAGTGGCCCTTGCTCTCTCTGTGTGCACTGCCCTGGGCCAACCCTCCTCATTTACCTTTGGGGAGTCACTGGTCACAGTTACTCGGAAAAGGTACATGGACACAGTCATCCCAGCCATCATGAACAGCAGCAGCCCATGGCGAGGGTTCCCATAGATGGATAGGCCTGCCTGTGGATCCAGTCCCAGATATGTCAGGCCCTAGGAGCTGGACAGAGAACCCCCACCCTTGGACTCTGGAGAGGTCTCTGGCAATCCCACCACAGTTCTGGACTACGGCTCTGGGAGGCCCTGGGACCTGCTCATTATGTTGAGGCCAAACTCCACAATATCCCTTCCTCCACCTTGGGGCAGGCTTGGGCTGTGCCAAGTCCCTCCCCTGCCCTGGTTTTTCTGGGGCTGTGAAAGGAGCCTATAACTAGGCTGAGAGAAATTTTAGCTCTCCTTAACATCAGTTAAAATCTTTCCCCAAAAGCCTTATCATCTACATCCTTAGGAAAGATAATAGCCTGGAATCATTGCTACCTCATCCAAACCAAATCAGCATATGCCTACCTGCCTGTGCCCCAGGGCTCCCACCTCTCTGGTGCCTGCCCCAGCCATGCTGGGAAAATTCAAAGGGACCCTCCACCTTCCTGTCCCTTCTGCCCACTCACCTTTGCCATGGCCCGGTCTGACAGGTAGCCAGCTGCGATACTGCCTACAAGGCCCCCAACCTCCAGGGCACTCATGTAGGCGCTACCTGCAGTGGGAAGTTGTGGTGGGAAGAAGGAAGGGAAGGGTGGAAGGGCATTATGTATTGGGGTTATCCTAGATAGGCTTAGGCCCAGAGAGGTACAGGGTCCCCAAGAGTGACTGACCGTAGCTACCTGCACAGTACCTGGCCTCAGGGAGAGAAAGGGGATACAGGGAAGCAGGGCCTGAATTTTCCTTCCCCTGCCTTAGCTCATGCTCCCTATGGCCACCCCTGTCCCAGCACCCATCTTACCCACAAGGGCTGACTGTCCTTTCTCCTGAATAAGGAAAAACTGGCCCCAGTCAGTACAGCAGGTCTTCACCCCAAACACCACAAGGTAGCCAGTGGAGAGCACCCACAGATAGGGCGACAACAGCAGTTCCTGTAGGGTACTTTCCTCCTTCAAGGAGCCTGGAGGAGGGAGGCCAGACCTCAGGGACTGCTTCTTGCTGCCCTGCCCCCACCTGAGCCCCCACCATTCATTCACCAGCCAGAGGGGCAGAGTCCATCAGCACAGCAGGGATTAGCATGGAGTCCCCTCCACCCCATGGCCCTCTCTCCCTACAAGCCAACGAAAGTAACTGAGGACTAGGGCAGAGGGAGAAGGTGCCCAAGCCACTTAAGCTTAGGATGCAGTCCAGGACAGGAAAGTCTGGCTCTGTTGTGAAGCAGGACCAGGACAAAACAGGACTCACAGCACTTGGTGGCTCTGCCATTTGTCTGCTATTAAGAGCCTCTTGGGATGAAGTTTTATTTATACCTTCCCATCATCACGCCTCCCTCTACATCACTGATAGCATGGGGCCAGGCACACAGCCAGTCCTCAACAATAATGTGTGAATGACTAACAAATGAAGGTACCCCAGTAGTCAGCCTGAGAGGGGGAGACTCACCCTTCTTGCCCTTGGAAGGGGTGGGGTCCAGGTTGCGGAGTCCAACATCAGCAGGTTCGTTGTGGATAAGCAGGAGACAGAGAAAGGAGACAACCATGCACAGTGCCCCAGACAGGGCTAGTGTGCTGCGCCAGCTGTAGCTCTGGGCAAGGATGGTTGCCAGGATTGGGCCCAGCCCTCCAGCCAGGTTCATGCTGGTTGACAGGATGGCCCACCAAGTGCCAAACTGAGATGGCTCAAACCACTGTGGGACAGAGGGGAACAGAGTAGGTGCCTAGTCTATAGCCCACACTGAAGGTGGGCTAAGTGTGGTAGACCCAAAAGATCACATTACAAGGATGAGGGAAAGGGAGGTTCTGCTTGGCAAGGCCAATTCCCTCATCTGCCCCCTGATCCCACCACTCTCAGACTCCTAAAATATCTTGACAAGCAATAGGAGCTGAGCTGAAACTAAGGAACCTGCTATGTGTTGAGGGTGGAAGGGGTGAGTAAGAAGGAATGCACCCACATGCTCTTCAGATATCCTCCATGCCAATCTAAACAGGCTTGTAGGAAACAGACACTCACCTTCCTCAGGATCTTCCCACATGGAGGCCAGCCCAGCCCCTGTGCCAGGCCATTGAGGAACCAGAGAGCAGCAAAGACAGCCACTGAGGAGCTCCACGAGAAGATGACATTGACCAGGCCAACCAGGAGCAGCCCAGAGGAGAAGAGCCAGCGAGCACTCATCTGGTCAGACAGTACCCCACTCACAAACTTGCTGATGGCATATGCTGCAGATTGGCTGCTAGTGATGAGCCCTGCAAGGGAGGGGAGCAGGGAGCAGGACACCTGGGGGGTTAGGGCAGAGGGCACAGGAGGGGTGGAGGAAGGCATGGGGTCAGGTGTATAGAGGTGCCCAGCAGGGTGAGACAAGTTCCTTCCAAGAGGAATAGGAAGCGCCTGTGCTGGAATCCTGATACTCAGTCAAGGGCTCTACTCCCTCTCCCCACCTCCCCACTAGCACTAGCCCCAGGCTGACCTATGACTTTTTAGCCTGTTGGAGAGTTCCTGCTGCAGCTGTCAGGAGACCAGAAAGGATCAGGACAGGACAGCACCCCTCCTTTGGGATATGTATATGCCTCATTGCCTACACCTCACCCTGGCTGTCAACCCAGGGCCTTGAGCAGTTCTCTTGCCCCACCTCTTAACATGGGGCGAAGGGCTCAGGATTGGAGCCAGGGACCTTGTTCCTCCTAGACAGTAGCCTGCCAGGCACATGAAGTCTTTGCGCCAATTCTCCAGTGCTCAATACTCAAAATGTCAGTAGCCAACACTCACCCTGCAGGCTTAGCATGCACTCATACCAGCAGGGATACCATGCTCAGAAGCTCCTAAACAGTGCCTCTGAGGGCCCCATGAGTCACAGGTACACACACAATAAACAACCCTCCTCAGTCATGCATGGGTAATACTCATAGTCCTTTCCCCAGACAAATGAATACGGACCACAGAACCTCTTCACTCAGCACATGCCACTGCTATGCACAGATATCCACACATACTACATGCCTGTACACATCACACTGCCACAGACACCCAATGAATCTTGAAGGTTCTGTGTCCCCAGGCCATGACCCTACCCTTCTCTTTAGGGCTCACCCAAGTCATCCTTGTCCAGAGGGATCTCCTCCACCAACGACGGCATGACAAAGGAGAAGGTCTTGCGGTTGAAGTAGTACAGGCTGTAGCCCCCAAACATGGCTGAGAAGATCACAGTACGATAGTAGCCATAGCCCTGGGCCGCCATGGTGGTAGAAGAGAGCAGCCCTACTGGCCAGGACCCAGAGCCTCTGACCACAGCTCCTGCCTGCTGGCTCTCTCAGTGCCCAAATCTGCTGAGTAAGGTCTTTTCCACTCCCTCCTCCACTCAGGCTCCCAGGCTCCCTTTATAGCCACCTTCTGGACAATCATTAAGCCTGGGGCGGCTCCTAGGGAACCCAGCCTGAGGGAGAAAAGAAAACAGATTACTGACAGCCAGACTGTGGGGGCTGGAGGGGTCTCAGGAGGGAGGCAATGCCTGTGAGCCAGGCCAGCACCCTGTGTCCCCAGGATTTCTGCCTTTGGTGCATCAGTCCAGGTCCCCCTGCCTGTGAAACCAGCTGTGATTAAAGGCTCAACCTAATTACTTTTGTCTGCCAGGAGCCCAAGGGAGGCAAGAGTGGGGGTGAGCAGAGCTGCCCTCTCCAGCCCTGCTCCCTCAGTCACTGTATCTTCCTATTCATTCAAAAAAGGCATATCGAGGGCTTATAGCACCAGGTGCTAGGTTAGTGTCTACACACATGCATGCACGCAAGCAAGCATGCACGCACACATTCAACCAGACATAAAGACACATACACCACCAACAACCCTACTTCCAAGTCTCCCAGAACAGACCCCACTCTGTAATTCCCAATGCTTAGCGCACAATGGGGTGTAACTAGTGCTTCTTGAATTATAGTTGCAGAATTGTAAACAATGGGGAACAACTCCTACACACACACACCCAGTTAAAGCCCCAGAGTCACAGAGAAAGCCCCAGTTAAGGGGCCAGTCAGAGCTGCCTCTGGTCCCCACTATCCTGCGACGTCAGTGTGGGCTCCCCGCTTGGCTGCCGGGGGCCGCAGGGTCTGATGCCCAACCTGAGGGACGTGGCAGGACTGGACGGCCTGGAGGCGAGAGGGTGCTGGCTTATTTCAGGCTCTCCTTCCCAGGGCCCCAGCAGCGTGCCCCCACCTTTTCCGCTCCGTTGAGAAAAACAAATGAAGCAGAAGGCGGAGGCGCAAGAGAAGCAGAGGCACGCACGTAGTCTCCCGGAGGCCCCCCGCTTCTGGCTGCCAAGAGCCTGGCAGGCAAGGACTGGCGGCGAGAAGGGGGAGGAGGGAGAGAGGCGGTGACTCTCGGCACCTGCCCAACCTCTGTGTCCTCAAGCTACCCAGGACACCCGATTCTGAGGCCAGGGACAGCAAGGGGCCTGGGATACAGGAGCTGGAAAGAGCGGAGAGGCAGGACAGCCGCGACTGAAGGAGGGTGTGCTAGCCACCAGCAACGCCTCGGCAGCCCCCAGACCCAGGAATGGGCCTCTACTCGGAAAAGGGCAGCTGCAGAAACAGTTCCAGATGATTTCCGAAGCTGGGGTAAGCGGGCAGAAGAGCCCACAAAGCTGAGGCTCCCCCTCCAGGCCAGCCCTCAGGAGATGCCCGTGCCCAGTATACCACCCCTACCTGAACAAAAGCCAGAGCAGGAATCTGAAGGGGCGGGGCAAAGCGGGGTCAACGGGCGCATGCGCTGTGGATGGAGGCGGGGAGTCCGCCAGCACCTCCCTGTGTTTGCGAGCTGAGTCCACCCCCAGAGGTTAAACAGTGAGTCGCTGTGGTCTACGGAATATGACAGCGCCCCTTAGGGACTGGACTCATTATGTTCGCTGCTTAACGGATTGCATTTAACAAACCATTTTTTACTGGGTGCCTCCCGCTACCAAACACACACACACTGGGTACCCACCCACCCTGCCATCGAGTCGATTACGACTCTACCGTCCTTATGGGACAGGAACTGCCCCATAGGGTTTCAAGGCTGTAAATCTTTACGGAAGCCCACTGCCTCATCTTTCTCCCGCTGAGCGGCTGGTGGATTTGAACCGCCACCTTTTGGTTAGCAGTCGAATGCTTTAACCACTGTGGAATTAAAAATGTAAATACGAAATTAGAAATGCAAAATTAAGGTAAAATTAAAATGTAATATTTTAATATAGCAATAAGAGGCCACTATTAAGCCCAGCAAAAGGGCGGGCCCCAGTTCCAGGAACTGGGGTGAGGCGAGGACCATATAGTTTTAGTAAACAATTCCCAGAACCATCGATGACTAAGCCCTGAACTCTATCATACCATATAATTGGAGAATTCAAACTTAAACTTACCAATCGTTTGTACTCCCTCCGAGAATTCAAACTTAAACTTACCAATCGTTTGTACTCCCTCCGAGAATTCAAACTTAAACTTACCAATTATCTGTACTCTCTCTGACCACCCCCTTGTAGTTTTGCCTTTAAATACTGTGTAATTTTGTTGCTGGGGGCTCTACTCCTCTGCCCCTGCGTGGGTTGTGAGTCGAGCCCCAGCGCGCTGGAACTTGGAATAAACTCCTCCTGCTTTTGCATCAAGAGACGTCTTTCGTGAGTGATTTTGGGTGGCGTTATCCCTGACCTGGGTTGTGGGAGCCCTGCCAAAGGGAAACCCAACATTTTGGGGGCTCGTCCGAGATAGAAACGACCACCCCTCACTCTCAAAGCCGCTCTTGGAGGTAAGTCTGGCGCCAGTTTATGTCCGTTCTTTGTTTTGTAGGTCGCAACCGAATCGGTTTTGAAGTGCACATTGTCAGTTTCGCAGCTGTTTCGCTTCCCGTGAGGGACCCGAAACTGCGGCTGGTAGACGTACCCGGAGAGCCGCAGGCTGCAGCCCTGGGGGACGCCCCAGGAGGAGAGGA